AAAAAAAAAAAAAAAAAAAAAAAAAAAAAAAAAAAAAAAGACGATGATCACTTTGCCTCTGTGCTCTCGGATACTTGTCCCCGGCGATAGTAGATGTTGCTTCCTCCATTGTGTCGGCTACCTCTGTTACGTGATCAAAACCCCCAAACCAGTCCCCCAAGCTGGAATCGAGTGGCCAGTGGCATGATGCCGTATCTCCAGATGGAAGGACACAGAGGTTAGTCCCTGACACCAAGTGGGCTTGAGCGGCCTTTCTTTCCACAAGCTTACAATGTGTGATTCCACTGTTTAAGAAAAACTAGGACGCTGTCGCGGATTCAGTTTGAAAAGCTGGGTTTCAGTCACGATTTTGCGAATGTTGTGTCAAACCGAGGAAAATTGTGAATGCATACAACCCAGCTCCAGGGCCGGGTGGGGATGTGTTGTATTTGAGGGATGCCCGAACTGGACTGGATTAAAAAAAAAAAACTGAAATGATCGTGACTGCGCCCTACTAGTTAGTTAGCCCTCGAAAAAAAAAAAACTTCAAGGGGGAAAACTAGGGCGCGGTCAAGGTTTTCAGTTTGAAAACGAGTTTCAGTCACGGTTTCGCAGATTTTGCTCCAAAGCGAGGAAAATCGTGAATGTATCCAACCCAGCTTTAGGGTTGGGTGGGGATGTGTTGTATTTGAGGGATGCCCGAACTGGACTGGATTAAAAAAAAAAAACTGAAATGATCGTGACTGCGCCCTACTAGTTAGTTAGCCCTCGAAAAAAAAAAAACTTCAAGGGGGAAAACTAGGGCGCGGTCAAGGTTTTCAGTTTGAAAACGAGTTTCAGTCACGGTTTCGCAGATTTTGCTCCAAAGCGAGGAAAATCGTGAATGTATCCAACCCAGCTTTAGGGTTGGGTGGGGATGTGTTGTATTCGAGAGATGCCTGAACTCTATTTAAAACTGAAATGAACGTGACTGCACCCTAGTTACCCCACCCCTTAAGCATGGGCACCTGGGCCGCGGGCCTGACACCTCGAATTCTGGACGCGCAAAACGAGTTTCGCAACCGCCGATGCCGAAAATTTATCAGCGGGCAGGCCCAGCGTTTGACGTTTCGGCCTTGCCTCGTTCTCTTTGTGGCGACAAGTTTTGGACTGCAAGGCTGGGGCCATGTACTAACCGTCTTCCCCCGAACAAAACGCACCCTCATCTTGGCTGTACCGGACCGGAAATATATCCTGCATACGTTCATTTTCAGGGTGCGTTATGTTCGGGGGAAGACAGTAGTGGTTTAACAAAAACTAAACAAGGTGTGATTCTACTGCAGCTACGAACAGCTGCCATGATCAGATCGACTCCAATTGATGGCCGGCTCGGAATGTATCCAACCCAGCTTTAGCGTTGGGTGGGGATGTGTTGCATTTGAGGGATCCCTGAACTGGATTTATAACTGAAATGATTGTGACTGCGCCCGACTAGTTACCCCTTAAACCGCTAGTACACGGCCGCCCCAGCCTTGCAGACAGTTTTTGTCGCCACAAGCATAACTCGGAGGCGCCGCGCGGCAAGGGGGGCTGTTGAAGACAAAAATCGGCGGCCTCTAAAGTGGTGCGGGTTTCATGCTGACACCCGCGGGCGGGCCTGGGCGTGGTTCACTGGTGCTTTAACAAGCCATGCTTCTACGAAACGTACGGGTCACTACAGGAGCGCCCAAATTCGTCAGACAAGAAACATTTCTACTCTATTTTTTTCCCACGGGCGATTTTTGGGCCAAGTACTTAACTGGTGGTTAAAAAAAAAGCTAAACAAGGTTTGTTTCGAGACCAATTTTGTCCCTAAGGCTTGTGTTCCGAACCAAACTCGCAGGTCATGTCACCGCCTACCCAGTTCTTATATTTTCTTAGTGTCCAATTTGGGTTCCTGTACACAGACCATCTGCACTCTATGATCCCGGATCCATGTTTTCAAGCACTGGCAGTTCGCCCTTCCCGCTACCGTCTTCTGAAGCGCTGGCACCGGAATAGAATGCCCGGTCCTTATAGCTGCTGCATTTGGGTCAACTTTTAGGCCAGATGCAGCGATAATGAACGGGCGTTCTATTCAGGGGAAGACTGTACACATATTCCAAAATGTGAGGGACAAGTATGCATGTCTTTGGTGTGCAGGTCCGAATGTCTTTTTTTTTTTTTTTTTTTTTTTTTTTAAGGTCAGAATGTTCATGGACGTGACCTCCGACCAACAATTGAAGTATAATATTTGTTCGTCCCTGTTAAGTCCCCCCCCCCCCCCCCCCTTTTTTTTTTTTTTTTTTTTTTTTTTTTTTTTTCTTTTTTTTTTTCCCCCCCCCCCCCCTTTTTTTTTTTTTTTTTTTTTTTTTTTTGGTAACCTCTCTTTTGAACCCCTCCACGACGCAAG